AGCAGAGTTTCAGGGTACAAGTCAACACACAAGATCAGCTGTGTTTCTATATACCAGCAATGAGCAATCCAAAAAGGAAATTAAGAAAACAATTCATTTATACTAGCATCAAAAAGAAAAATAAATACCTACAAGTAAATGTAACCAAGGAGGTGAAAGGTTTGTTTGCTAAGAACTACAAAGCATTGCCAAAAGAAATTAAAGAATACCTAAATAATTGGAAAGACATCACACGTCCATGGATTGGACTTAATAGTGTTATGATGTCAATGCTGTCCAGAGCCATCTACAGATTCAATACAATCCCTATCAAAATTCCAACAGCCTTTTTTACAGAAGTGGAAAAGTTGATCCTCAAATGCATATGGAATTACAAGGGGCCCCAAGTAGCCAAAACAAGCTTGAAAAAGAGCAAAGTTGGATGACTCATACTTCCTGGTTTCAAAACTTACTATAGGGTCAGCCTGGTGGCGTAGTGGTTAAGTTCGCGCACTCCACTTCAGCAGCCTGGGGTTCGCAGGTTCGGATCCCGGGCACAGACCGACACACTGCTTATCAAGCCATGCTGTGGCAAGTGTCCCACATATAAAGTAGAGGAAGATGGGCACAGATGTTAGCCCAGGGCCAATCTTCCTCAGCAAAAAGAAGGATTGGCAACAGATGTTAGCTCAGGGCTAATCTTCCTCACCAAAAAGAAAAAAAAAAACTATAAACCTGCAGTAATCGAAACAATTTGGCACTGACATAAGGGTAGACATACAGATCAGTGGCATAGAATTGAAAGTCTAGAAGTAAATCCATACGTCTATGGCCAGTTGCTTTTCAACGAGGGTGCCAAGAGCATTCATTGAGGAAAGATAATTCTCTTCAACAAATGGTGCTAAGTGGACATCCACATGCAAAAGAATGAACTTGGACCCCTACCTCACACTATATACAAAAATTAACTGAAAATGATCCAACAACCTAAATATAAGAACTAAAGTCATAAACCTCTTAGAAAAAAAGTGGTAAATTTTCATAACCTTGGGTTTGGCAACGGATTGTTAGATATGACACCAAAAGCATGAACAAAAAAAGAAAAAGGTAAATTGGGCTTCATCAAAATTAAAAACTTTGGGCATCAAAGGACATTATCAAAGTGAAAAGACATCCTACAGAATGGGAGAAAATCTTTGCAAACTGTATATCTAGTGAGAGTCTAGTACCCAGAATATACAAAGAACTCAAACAACTCAATAACAAAAGAGAAACCAATTTAAAAATGAGCTAAGGACTTGAATGAACATTTCTCCAAAGAAAATATACAAATTGCCAACAAGCAAATCAAAAGATGCTCAAATTCATTACTCATTTGAGAAATGCAAATCAAAACCACAATGAGATTACCACTTCAGACCCACTAGAATGATTGTAATGATAAAATAAATAACAAGTGTTTTGAAGGATGTGCAGAAATTGGAACTCTGGTTCATTGCTGGTTGGGATATAAAATGGTGCAGCCACTGTGGAATACAATTTGGCAGTTCCTCTGAAGTTTAAAGAGTATTACCATATGACCCAGAAATTCCACCACTAGATATATACCCAAAGAATTGAAGACAAGTGCTCAAACAAGTACATGTACATCCTGTTCATAGCAGCACTATTCACAACAGCCAAAAGGTGCAGGCAGCCCAGATGTTCATCAGTGGATGAGTCGATAAACAAAATGTGGTATACCCATGCGATGGAATATTATCCTGCCATGAAAAGGAATGAAGCACTGATGCTTGCTACCATGTAGATGAACCTGCATAAACGTTAGGCTAAGTGAAAGAATCCAGACACAAAAAGTCACATGGTTGCATTCAGATGTGATGTCAGGAATAGGTGAATCCTTAGAGAAAAAATGCAGGTTGATGGTTGCCGGGAGCTGGGGGAGGGCAATAAGCAGATAAACTGTAACGGGTAAGGGGCTTTGCTGTGTAGTGATAGAAATGTTTTGGAACTAGATAGAGGTGGTGACTGCACAACATTGTAAATGTACAAAATGCTACTGAATTGTTTATTTAAAACAGTTAATTTTATGTTTGTGAATTTCACCTCAATAAATTATTAAGTAAAATGAAAACAGAAGCTGCTGTGTGGGAGACAGAAGATTAGTGGAGCCCCCACCTGAATGTGCAGTGCCATGTCAGGTCTGTGTGGCAGGTGGCTGGGTAAGGTACTGGGTGAGGTTGCTGCTGTGCCAATGGCACACGTGGCATTCAGCTGAGCGTGGCTTTCACTTGGGTACTCACCTAAGCTGTTTTTCACAAACCTGGAAGCCACTAATCATCAAGGTCTTGCATGAGTGTTTCCTCCTGGTTAATGCTAACGGGCTTGTTGTGTTCTTGAAGAGCTCGGAGTCCTCATTCTTTTCTCCAGTTGGTGTCACAGTTGGGGCAGCGAGGACAGTGCAAGCAGCTGCATTTCTTTCAAATCTTTTCCTTCTCCTTTAAACCCAAATTTTACTGTATTTCCTTTTTTTAGGTTTCCTTAAGGGAAACCATATTTCTGATTTTATATTTCCTTTCAAAAGAGGAACTTTCATTATTTTTTCCAGCAGTTCTTATGTTGCAGAGAAGAATTATGTCAAATTTAACAAATGTGAAGTGACCTCTGACCATCCTCACCCACAGGACTCCTTTTTGTTTCCTGTCTCGATAAAAGACTTCCAGGTCAACAGTGGCTCCAGCCCAAAAACCAGATCCCATTGCCACCATCGCCTGAGCCACACAAGTGACTTTGTCTCAATCAGGGTTCAGCAAACTGTCGCCCACAGGCCAGATTGAGCTAGCCAGTGGTTTTTTATGACCTGCAAGCAAAGAATGGTTTTGAGATTTGGGGTGTAACAAAGCAGACCATATGACAGAGACCATACAGCCACAAAGCCTAAAATGGATCCTCTCTGACGCTTTATGGAAAAGCTTCGCTGACTCTTGTATGTGTCATCCCTTTCTGGTCCCTTCTTCACATGCAGCGAGAAGAGGGCAGGGGCTCCCCAGGTCAGTCGCTAGGGGCAGCAGGGGGCACAGCAAGCCCCAGGCCATCCCGTCCAGACCCTTGTTTCCTGCAGCAGCCTCCCTGTCTGCTGGACAGTGAGTCTGTCTCCCTTCATCACTCCTGGGAACACAGCAGCATGTGGACATTTCCTAGACACCCTGGGGCAGGGCTCCCAACCTGGTGGACTCTGAGGCTCACTGGAGAACGTGGTCAGCCCGTGTGCCACCTGTGCTGATGAGCCTGCCTGAGGGTCAGCAGGAAAGTAAAGCATGTCACCCATGTCTGCGTGCCAGCCATATGGCTGAGTCCCATAGGTGAGAGGCCTGGCACAGACTCGTGCAGGGGAGTTCTGGCTGGGGGTGCCACAGCACAGTGTGTCTGGACCACGGGTGGGTGACTGGAATGTGACGGTCACCACCAGGTGTGTGGGCATGGCGGGCAGAGATGCTGAACATGACCAGGCCGGGTCTGCATTGAGATCACTCTGGTGGCTCCAAGGAGAACAGAAGCATCCAGATGAGGCAGGAGACAGAATGCTGTTGTGGTGGTAGATTCTAGAAGTTCCAGGCAGTGTCAGCCTGAACTGAGGGGCAGGTTGGAGGGTGACACGCCCAAGGAGGCTGGGTGTTGGGGGGCTGTCCTTCACCCACACTCAGCACCACTGACTGCAGCCAGACGAGGGGTTGCCCCAGTCCCAGGACATAGAGCCCTGTCAGGGAGCAATCAGGGCTGTGTAGGACATAGCAAGGAGGGGCAACAGTCAGAGAAGGCTCTCCAGTGAGATGTGTTTGAGCAGAGACCAGGAGGAAGGGAAGGAGGGAGTGTAGAACCATCAGGGGAGGGTGTTCCAAGCAAGGCAGATCTTGAGTTGAGCATATCCACCTTGCTGAGGGAACAGCAAGAGGAGAGGTGGGGGTGGGCTCAGGGAGGGCCTGGGAGGATGTTGAAGTGCTCTTATGTCACCAGGCTGTCTGGGCAGGAGGGGAAGGTAGGAGACCAAGGAAGCTATTCAGTGTCCAGGTAGGAAAAGATGGCAGTGGCATGGCCTGGGTGTTCAACTTGAATGAGACAGAGACTCAAGATCTTCGTTGAAGTGAGAGATCCAGGAGAGTGAGGGTTTCCTTGTTCCTTCAGGCATGAAGAGAGAAGGGGGAGGTGCCAGAGCCCTTCTGGTGTGATAAGGAGCCTTGTGCACGTTTCTGCCTTCTGAATGACGGATGCAGCTGCTTAAACATTGTACTGGGGCACGAAATTGTCCAGCTAACACCAGTCAGAGTTGCAAGTCTTAGGGGGTAAAAGTGACTGGCAGGACAGGGCAAGGTCTCTGAAGGCTCCTCTGTTGAATGGGATGGAATCTGGTGTTTCACACAAGTCCCCACCACAGTTCTCAACCCCCCACGCCATCGGAACCAGCCTTGCTTCTCTGAAGAGGATGGGCTCTCCTGCACCTGCTGGCCGAGGGCCCACCTCCCCACTGGCGACTCCTAAGGCAAAGCCTGAATGCCATCAGTTGGCACTGAGAGAACAAATATAGGCTTGAGAAGTTGACACCATGCACCGTGGAAAAGCAAAAGGGGTAGAATGTTTAACAATGTGATGCGAGGCAGGTAATGCTTTCCTTGTACAAGTGGGAAGGGTGAGCGCCTGGGTTTGGGACACACTCAAGCCAGAGCTGACAGTACTTGCTAATGACCTGCTGTGGGCCAAAGGAAGGGCAGCTGAGGGGCACACACGATTTTGGCCTGAACCAGTAGGGAGACTGCTGGTGACTTTCTGAGATGTGGGTGCTGGGGGTAAGGGGTTGAGAGTCAATCTTCAGTTGCTGGGCAACCTTGTCCCCTCAGAGCTCTCGCAGACCCTCCCTGGTCCCCTCAAAAGATCTGGGACTACCATCCCCAGTGGGTCCCATACCCCCAGACTCATCTGTATGTTTTCCTGCTTCCTTCCAAGTGACTTTATGTTTGTCATTTCAGATTGGGACACCAGGACTGAGGGCAAGGAATTTCTTCAGAAGGAAGAAGTTTCTGAGCATTTGGAATCACAGGCAGAAATGTCAGGAAACTATACCAGTGATGTTTCCCAAGCAGCTGAGCTTGGAGAACTCTGTGATGATGTGTTAGAGAGAGACTGGGGAGTCCCTGATGAGGACAGATGGGTGCAGCCCCTCTACCGGGAGGGGGACTTCACACCAGTGGCAGTGCTTCTTAAGAGCCCCTTAGGGGAGAGAGAGCTGGACTGTGACAATTTTGAGAGAAGCTTCAGCCTGAGCCCAAACCCCATGGCATATCAGGGAATCCCTGCAGAAGAAAGGCTGCATCCGTACGACATGTGTGGCCAGAGCTTCCGGGACAGCATGGACCCGACTAGCCACGAGGGGCTTCACACAGCTGAAGGCCCATTCATATGTAACGAGTGTGGGGAGACCTTCAGAGGAAATGCTGATCTTGTTCAGCATCAGATAATCCACACCGGACAGAAGTCCTTCCTCTGCACTGAGTGTGGAAAATCCTTCAGCCAGAACTCGGTTCTTAAAAATCATCAGAGGTCACACATGAATGAGAAACCCCACCAGTGCAGTGAATGCGGGAAAGCCTTCCGTGTGCACGCAAACCTCATCAGGCATCAGATTAACCACAGTGGAGAGACGCCTCATGTTTGTAGTGAATGTGGAAAAGCCTTCAGCCAGAACTCCAGCCTTAAAAAGCACCAGAAGTCTCACATGAGTGAGAAGCCCTACGAATGCAGCGAATGTGGGAAGGCCTTCAGGCGGAGTTCAAACCTCATCCAACATCAAAGAATTCATTCTGGGGAGAAGCCATATGTGTGCACCGAATGTGGGAAGGCCTTCAGGCGGAGCTCAAACCTCATCAAACACCACAGGATTCACACAGGTGAGAAGCCTTTCGAGTGTAATGAGTGTGGGAAAGCCTTCAGCCAGAGCTCACACCTGAGGAAGCATCAGAGGGTTCACACTGGAGAGAGACCATACGAGTGTAACGAGTGCGGCAAACCATTCAGCCGGGTCTCCAACCTCATTAAGCATCACAGGGTTCACACTGGAGAGAAACCCTATAAATGCAGTGACTGCGGGAAGGCCTTTAGTCAGAGTTCAAGCCTCATTCAGCACCGGAGAATTCACACTGGAGAAAAGCCTCATGTGTGTAGTGTGTGTGGAAAAGCCTTCAGTTACAGCTCAGTGCTCAGAAAGCACCAGATAATCCACACAGGAGAGAAGCCATATGAATGCAGCATCTGCGGGAAGGCCTTCAGCCACAGCTCAGCCCTCATTCAACATCAGGGTGTGCACACAGGCGACAAGCCCTATGAGTGTCGTGAATGTGGGAAAACGTTCGGTCGCAGCTCCAACCTTATTCTCCACCAGCGAGTTCACACTGGAGAGAAACCCTATGAATGTACTGAATGTGGAAAAACCTTCAGCCAGAGTTCAACTCTCATTCAGCATCAGAGAATCCATAATGGATTGAAGCCCCATGAGTGTAACCAGTGTGGTAAAGCCTTCAATCGAAGCTCAAACCTCATTCACCACCAGAAGGTTCACACTGGAGAGAAGCCGTACATGTGTGTTGAGTGTGGTAAGGGCTTCAGCCAGAGTTCACACCTTATTCAACATCAGATAATCCACACTGGTGAGAGACCATATAAGTGCAATGAGTGTGGGAAATCCTTCAGCCAGCGCTCAGTCCTCATCCAGCACCAGAGGATTCACACTGGGGTGAAGCCCTATGACTGCACTGCTTGTGGGAAAGCCTTCAGCCAGCGGTCGAAGCTGGTCAAGCACCAGCTGACCCACACCAGGGAGTGAGACAGGCTGGCTCCTCTCCAGCTTCTCTGGCCATGTCTCAGCCTCTCCCACCTCCCAGACTTGAAGCTGGGCTCACCCACTGCCCTCCACACCCAGGTCCCACTGCCCACAAAGCCTGGGACCCTCATTGGAGACATCCTATATGGCTCCCTCCCCTCCTTCCCCTGCCAGTTCCCACCTCATGTGATCTCTTGTTTCTTTTTTGTTTTGTTTTTACGTTTTGTTATCAGACTGCCATATTTGTTAGGTGGGAAAAGATGATAGAGGCTGCATATTCAGGAATAGAGTTTATTATTGTTACCAAACGTAACCAAAGAAGTGAACTGACATTTGGTTCAAGATAACCACAGTAATTGTGTTGTTTGGTAATTAGACATAAAGAATGAGTTCTTTGTCACTGGCTGTAAGTGATATTCTGTTTACATAAAATCAGGTCAAGGGTTTTCAGTTCTGATTGTGGTCACCCTCCCCCAGAGGTGGTGCATACTCATTGCCACCAGTTCCTCACCCTTGTTCGTTCTGTAACTGCACACAGGCCCCCCTGCTCCCTTTCCTTTGGGCCCACCTGCAGTCTCAGGTCATGCTTTCTCTTCATGCCTCCGCTGTGACTCAGGTGCCCATGGCCCTGCACGGGGCTGCCGCACAATCACACAGTCAGCTGTTTCCCAGCCTCCAGTTCTGTGCCTCACGGTCCTGGCTGTCAGCTCCACAGAGGCCAGCTCTCTCCATGCTCCTCCAGTACTCCACAAGCTCCCAGGCTCAGTTTTTTCACAGGTCCATTCATCACTAGACACTTTTGGAGCACCTGCTAGGTGCCCCTAGAAGGTGGGGACCAGCTTCCCTCCTCAGTTTCCCAGAGCTGTGCCCCTGCTCCTTGAGCAGGGAGACCTTGGCCCAGAAGCAACACGTCTGCCATGAGGGAGCCCTGTGGATGCCAGCCAGCAGCTCTCAACCTGGGGGTGTCATAGGATGGATGGATGGGTGGAGAAGCACCTTCTGCATTGTTCCAGGAGGAAGGAAGGAAATGGGCACATGTAGTAAGGTTTGCAGTTATGGAAGAAAGGTAAGTGTTTGGCTTCTGTGTTTTCAAGGAAGTAGAGGTAAGGCCATCAGTTCTGAATGAGGAGGGAGAGGTTGTGGGAGGTTTGAAGAAAGTGTGGAAGAGTTGACTCAAGGATGCAAAGGTCAGTCCCGTGGGCTTGGGCCAGAATGGGCTGCCTACCCTCATCTCAGAGACCGTCCAGAGTGGCCCGTCACTGATCACCTGCAGAGGCACTGTCCGTCACACTCACCCCTCGGGTTTCTTCACCCCTTCCCCTCCACTTCAGCCCCTCTTTGTGAAGGCAACACCCTAGACAAGAAACTGCCGCATCTGCAGTTTTGATGACAACTTTGCCCTGTTTTCCTCCAACTCACGTGCTCGGTCTCTTTGCCTCGTGGAGAGCTGTAGGCTGTTGACCCTCGTGCTTTCTCGCTGTCACGCAGCCCTCTGGCTTCACATTTCTTCTTGTCCAGCCTGGCTTTGAACATTCCTTCTTTCAGTAAATACTTGTCGAATATTTACTATACGCCATTCACTGGGGATACTGTGGGAAACAAGACAGACAAAAAATGCCTGCCCTCAAGTTGACGTGCCAGTGGGGAGAGAGAAGGACCTAGTGGTCACGACTGCTGTGAAGCAGAAGTAAGGTAGGAGATGGGTCTGGCTCAGTTTCAAGTGGGGACTTCACTGAGGTGTCCTCTGAGCAACAACTTGAAGCAGATAAGAGAATGACCGGTGAGATGGGGGCGGATGGGGGGCAGGCAGTGAGAATAGCCAGTGCAAAGGCCCTCAGCAGAAGTGGGCCTAGAACATTCAAGGATCATCAAAGGTCAGGTGGCTGGGAGTGGAGTGAGCAAAGGGAGAAGCAGGTGAAGTGAGAGTAATGGCAGCTGTATCATGAAGGGCCTTGTGGCCATGACAAGGACTTTGGCTTTTATGGTGGGTGAAATGGGGAGATGTTGCAGGGTTTTGATCTGACCTACATTTTAACAAGATAATCTACTGTGTGGAGAAGAGACTGGGGGCAAGCAAGTGTATGTCCCTCTCTGTGTCACACCATCTCAAGTCCTTTTGCCTCTTTCCCCAGCCTTATTTTTCTCAAAGGACCCTTAATTATTTTAATTATTGGTTTATATGGTAGGGAAACAGAGAAACTGGGGAGAGGAGAAAGGGTAAGTGGAGAAGACAGGGTGAGAGAAGAACCGTCACACTTCCTGCTGGGACTGGGATCTGAACACTGTTCCCCAAATCCAAAACGCCGTCCCTTTCTTGGCGTGGTCATCTGTGGACTCCTGCCCTCCTTGCCCTTGCCAGGGGCAAGGATGTCTCAGGATGGCGTTTTTAAAAAGGGCTGAAATCGCCCAACAAGAGAGAGCTGGTGCCCACCCCCCAACCCCCTCTGGTTGTTGCCAATCCCCAGTTACCACGTGTGGTCTGGGGGGAGTTCCAGCTACTGCAGAGGCAACCACCATCCCTGATCACCCCATGCAGGGGTGGGGGCCGCCAATGAGTGCATCACTAGGCGGCAGGTGGCAGAATCACCTGCTGTACAGACGTGTGCTCATGAGTGTGTAACAGCCACAATTTCAAATGTAGCTTCTGCAATTAAATTTTTTAAATTTTCAAATCAACGTCATTCTAGAAAATGCAAATTTGGAAAAGGGGAAAAAAAGATACTACACATAATTTCACCACTTAACACATTCTGTAGGGACACCACTGCAGGGCTGAGATGTGCTCACTGGGCACTCAGGCCACCTGTGCCTGCATGCAGGAGACAGAGAATCTCGAGCAAGAAGCAATGAGGTGGGAGCACAGCAACTGTCTGGAGAGCTGCCTCGGACTTCCCAAACAGTGGACTGAGCAGTCAATCTGTTTTCTGATGTTTGTTGACAGCAGTTAAGCCTTGCGCCCTACTCGCCTCCTCATGCCCACATCAGGGCACACTGGTAAGAAAGCCTGGGTGCTCCCTCCCTTGATGCCAGCAGAAGATTTAAACCACTCAAGTCCCTGCTCGAACATGGGGGCGCTCGCCCCAGCCCCCCCAACCACAATAAACATCCAGCCCAGTCTCCTCTCCTCACGCTCTCAAACCACTTTGGACCTGCTTGAGACACTGCCCTGCTGACCTCAGTTATGTAAGGAATAAACCATTCATACCCTCATGGTGTGTGTGTGTCGTCATCAGTCTTAACATCTGAACCTCATTTTGAGTGGGGCCATCTGCCTCTGCAGGTGACCACAGCAACTGGACTTGTTGCCTGTGAGCAGGCTGTCTAGACGGTGACATCACCCCAGGGGTCCATCTGCTCTTGCTTTGGCTCACTAACCAGCACTCTTCCTACAGGCCAGGACGCACTCAGCCACGTTGCATGTGTTGCATTGTTGAGTCCAATGGACACTCTGTTATAGATTTAGCTGAACAAAATCAGTAGTTTTGATAATTAATTGGTGTTTAGGGACAGAAGTATGGGATTGGGCCCTCCTTAAAGTGGCCTGGGTCCTGTGTCTGAGCCCAGACCTATCTGTATTTGAGAGCAGAGCTGCAACTGACTCGAGGCTCAGGGGAGACTCTACCCTGTGCGAGAAGTGCGTCCACTGGGGGGATACTCAACACTCATGAGAAAACATATTTGGAGGGAGGCATTTGGTGGCATGCTAAGGAAGAAATGTATCAATGTGAGTGCAGTAGAGAGGACCCCCCTGAAGTATATCCAGTGACCCCCCCCCCAAA